CTCAGAGAGCCTCAGTCCAGGAACAGACCGACTTCGGACACCTTCTCTGGGGAGCTTCCCCCTCCTCATAAAGGGCTCCTCCCGGACAAGCACATCCATGGCAGGGAGACCAGCCTGACACTGCAAGACGAGGTGGGACAGTGCCAGTGGGAAGGAAGCCTAGGTCACAGTTCATATTCTGGGGCTTTTTTCCCATGAAGTCTCACAGAGATGGAGTAAACCAGAGCAGTGGATATTCAGGAGACATTTTGGAAGTCACATCAGGTATTCTTAAAGATGCACCCCAGATGAAAGTGCCACGCTCTCCTTGATTCAGCAATCACTGTAGAGAGAGAGCACCCAGGTCCCCACTGAGGAAGGCAATGCCCCTGCAGATAGGCGTTCGGGTGAGCAGTGTAGGAAAGTAAATGCCGGGAATGCTTTGTTAAGATGCTCTGGCTCTAAATCTATTGGGAGTGGTAAGAATGAACACGATCATATGTTATTGATATTTGCTTTAAACCATAGATCTAGCAATTTATAATTGTTATACTTGTCAAATATGTGTAAGGTCAGAATTATAGGCATCACAATGGAAATAACCAAACAGAACATTGTCTCCTGACGACAGAGGAACCACAGATACAGGCTAAAGCGATATTCAGAGGTACAAATAAGGAAATTACCAAGAAGAAAGCTAAAAATCATTCTCAACAGAAATCACTACACAATTGCTGTGTGATCAAAATATACAGTGAATAGTACAAATTTTAAAAAATGTATTAGAGTAAAAGACACAGTGTCATTAAGTCCCCTCAAATTATCCTCTCCTGCTTCTTACACATTTACTTGATCACTCCCAACACCTTCTGTACAGTTTTGAAGCCGACTCGAATGAGTGTTTTTATGAGTTATGAGCAAAATATGATGAATGCTGCAGATTCCAAGTACCACCTAAAAAAAAAGCAGGCTTAGGCCAGGGCTTTAGTGGTTCTGCCGCCTGCTTCGCAAGCGGAAAGTCCCGAGTTCAATCCCTGGTACAAAAAAAAAAAAAAAAAAAAGGGGGAAAAAAATGGGGCTTAGGAAGCATCACAGTCTGTTCTTACCCATCTACTTCGTCACACATGGCACCCTTCAAATCCTGGCTCTTCTCTAAAGTCAAAATGACAGCGGAAAGCAAAGATTTTTAATTGATTCAGTACAGCGAGGCAGCTAAGAGAACGTAAGAAAAGACATTCAGGAAAGAGCCCAGAACTGCTTCAGAAAATTGCAAGAACAGTGGAATAAGTATGTTCCAAGCCCAAGGGTGTATTATGAGGGAAATTAATGGCAACATATCTCTTATTGTAACTTGTTTTTGTATTTTGGTATCAGACATAATAAGTTTAACAAGTTTCTCATTTTTATGTCCTTTTAATATAGCTACACAATATTGAAATTTAATTTTTAAAATTTTGTTTCTTTTTTAATTGATTTGATATCTGTATTTTATTCAAATAAAATGTTCAGTCTAAAAGAAGCTCTCACACTGAATATTTTAATGAATGATGTTGTATTTTGTATGATCTAATTGCACTTAATTTGGGCAGACATGTTTTATACCATTTTATTATTTGTATGTTGAAACATACAAACTAAACCAAGATTCATAAATGAGCATCATTCAGTTTAAACAATTATAAACTTTCTGACCTTTTCTTATTATGAATTTGATTTTACAATAAAGTCTATATCCACTTAATGCATAAATTTGATCTTCAAATAGTTGAGAAATGTGTACACCTTTATGTTCTGCACCACTACAAAGATATAGAATATTTTCTTTACCTTAAAACACTCACTTTTCTTCCTTCTCAGAAAAACCCTTGATTAATCCTCAGAAATAACTTACGTGGAACTTTGAACCCATAATTATATTTCATATTAGAAGTTAATAGAATAGAATAATGTACTGACCGTGTGTTGTTAACTTGTAGCAATCATTCACTTAGCTTAATGAGTTTTGATTCCTTTGGCATTTGGATTTTTAAAATTACTCTACCTTTATTAATGAACAAATATCTGTTGTGCAAACATTCTGAATTTGAATGTCTGTTCACTTATTGGTGGCTATCTGCATGGTTACCATATTGGGGGAAGTATGAATAAAGCTCCTGTGAACATAATTGTACACATCTTGAGGTAAACGTGTTGTTCTTTCTCTTGAATAAGCAAATGGCGTTCAATTGCGTGTAATGATTAGCTTGGTTTATTAATAATGGGGAAGAAACTACTGTATTTTCCAAATTTTGATACCTTCCTTTCACACTTCTTTTCTCAGAATCCCATGCTCTATAGCCTTGCCAAAATTTGGTGTTGTTATGCTTTACGATTTTAGTTATTGTGGGGACCAAGGCGTGCTACGTCACTAACTGAATACTGTATATTGCTTATAACTATTTTACAAAATTTTTAATTATTTAAATTTCATTTGCCAAGAGTCAATTCAATTCAAGCTTCTTTCTTTTCCCCCTTATTTTCATGACTGTCTTATATTTTAGTGATAAGTATATATATGTATATAAAGCTATACATATACATGAATATATACATATTCTCAATCCAATTTCTGTTTTTATAAATGTGAATGTGAATATTTCCTTCTATATATGTCTTCTAATATCCCTTTCTTAATAGTGATTTTATAAAATTTATAGCACACGGTAAATTATCTTATAGTTATTTCCCCTTATGCCTTACAATCCATTTTTTTCAAGATTATACTAAAATTATGAAGATATCAAAATGTAATAGTTTAAAATCCTTTACAACATCAAAGGTGTAATTATTATTTTGTATGTAATGTAAAGTTATAATTAATGTTGTTTTTTAGATGTACATGTTCACTTTCACTCTGTGAGTTTTACTGCTGACCATCCTATCTTCACTTAATTACAAAACTGATCCCTTTATAAAAATTATTAAGTTAAATATATAAAAATGAAAAAATTAAAATTAAGCATATATCTCTACATCTGCTATATGCTTTTAATTTTTAGAATTACAAAAAAAAATCTATTCTTGTAATTTAGTTTTATAAGTATGCAATCAGCCGGGCATGGTGGCGCATGCCTGTAATCGCAGCACTCGGGAGGCTGAGGCAGGAGGATCGCTGTGAATTCGAGACCAGCCTGGGCTACATAGTGTGTTCCAGGTCAGTCTCAACTACATAGTGAGACCCTGTCTCAAAA